CGCTCCGGGAGTGATTGGAAGGATGAGTGAGGCTACTGGCAGACGCATGAGTGGACAGTCTGACCCCAGGGGCCAGACCCCCATTAAGTCCAGCTGCACGGGAATATTCAATTTACTAAATGTTGATGGGACTTATTCCAGAGAAACTTCCAACTGCCCCAGCTAGTCACCACAGCCAATGGCAATGAAGAGCCCATGAAATGTCATATCCCTCTACTTCCCATCCTTAGAAAAACCACCACATTTATATCGAAACTTTTGGATGGTGATCTTATGCTCAGGAATGAAGCTTCCCCCCCCCCTGGGGGCATGATGTAAGACAGTTGTGTCAAATACAAAGCTATCTTTTGAGTTTGGAGGAGTTCGTGAACTGTTTCTGACACAAGGCTACCTGGCCACAGACTAGGAATATAAACCAAGTGAAGTTTAAAAGGCAAAAGTTTTTTCTTCTAGATGGTTAAGCAAGCTCTCCGTGAATGTCCTTATGCAACATCAGCAGAGAAGTGAGAAACTGCTGCAGCCAGGGAGAAGGGAGAAGCCAAATCAGAGTCTAAAACCATCCTCAAAGTTTCATCTACCACAACTACATTATCAAGCAGCTATCCTTTCTTTTTCCATTGGAATCAATGGCCAAAATCTTGTCGGACAGGTTGCGCCAATGCAGCAGCAATGGTAACTGACTAAAGAGTCCTTCCCCCTCCCCGTTTCAGAGTACATGCAATTTCATCTCATTGAGTGTGGGCTGCTCACACTCCAAAATCTGAGCTGCACAACAGGTCAATGACTCTTCTTTGCGTAGCAAGTTCTTGCGTCTATTACAAGGCCAACATTTGATTTGCAAAACTATTTGAACTCTAAACACATACAAAGGAAAGGGAAAGGAACGATCACAGTGCCAAGTAACTTATAACATTTAATAAAAGTTAACAGTGCTAAAAGGAACAGTGCCAAGTGACTTATAACATTTATAACATTTAATAAAAGTTAACAGTGCTGAGAAAAATCTCCTCTGATTTAGAAGCTTTTGCAACTCTTCTTAAGCCCAAATAATTATCATAAGGCTAAAAAAGATAAGAGCTTTTCAAATACCAGCTATAGAGGAGGATTTTGAAAGTTTGAAAGGCTGATCCCCATTTCTTTATATTTTTAACTCAAACAAGCAGAACTAACAGAAACCATGTGGGCCTTTGCTCCCAAACTGTCAACCATACATCTGAAAGATTTTATATTTTCAACAATGGGACAATGGTCATTTTTAACATATTCCTTCACTATGGCCAAACTGGTACACCACATATAGGCTTCTAAGAGATAAGCAACCCAGACATCTCCTTTGCTACTCATTATGCTAGCATACTGGGACAGGGCAGAAGCCAATGTCTGCTTTAAAAAAATCGGTGGGCTTTCCCTCCATTCCTATGTATTAATTCTGTGTGAAAAGGTTCATTGCCTAACCCATTTTGCTTACCCATGTTCTCCCTTTCATCATAAAAAGTGAGGACATCTATGTGGGCTGTAGGAAAACAATCAAGAATCCACATCACAGCAATACCTTTATTAAGCAAATCAAAAAGACATGCTTTTTTCTGCTATGTGTTCTTTTACAATGCTTTTCAACCTCCTTGTGCCCAGTGCTTGATTTTTTCTTTACGGTTTTAATGTTATTTTGAAAAATGCATAATTTAAAACATTATAATGTCTGTACAGCTATTCCACAGCTGAGACAGGTTTTTGTCCCATTACCAGTTTTTCTTCCCAGCAACACAGGAGCTGCTCATACACAGATTCAAAAATGAAGCCAACACACCCCAGGTAGCAGGACAAGATCTTTTAAAAGCTAGACAACCGTGTACTATGCAGTGTTGGGTTCCATATACCTGTAAAGATGACGAAATAAAAACTATCTGCATTGCTCCCAGGCTTATAAGGACTTTCTGTGCCAAGAATCAAAAACTCTTTGACTGCACCTACTTTGCACTCACATCACAAAAGCCTCAGAGGAGTAGTAGTCATATGACAGGATATCTCCTCATCATTGCTTAAGGGGATTTGCTCACATAGTAGCTTGCAACAAAGTCATTCATTCATTTATCTGGTCTAACATAGTATATTTCTCTACATAAAATACATCTGCAAGGAAGTGCATGGGAAGCAAACCGACCAGAATGCAAAATGTTGGTAAATATTTATTCATTATATATTCTTTTGACATGTATTACCCAAGATCTATTTGTCTCTAACACATTTGGACTGGAATAAGCCCTAAGGCTTAGCTAGTCTGAACTCAGTTGCACAGGGGCAAATGACACTTAATCGTTACCCACTCAAGTGTGCAGATGGTCGCAAGCCCAAGCAAAAGCACCATGGAGATTTAGTGCTCTGGCACAGGCCCCAGAATTTACTTGTTTCTGAAAAAGCCAAAAAGGGAACTACCTTTTCTTAAAAAAAAAAAAAAAAAGTACTGAGATTCAAGTGAAGAGTGAGAAACAGGAAAAAGAGAAGTAAAAGGGAAAAAACATAGTAAAAGAAAGTTTTGGGAGAAAAAAACAAAGGCATCAGTGCTTTCTGGTGAAAACTCACCGTTTAGTCCATATCCCACACTTCCATTACATGACTACCAACAATGGAAGATAAATAGGACTGATTTTTTCACACAAAGTCGTGAGACAACAGCAGTAATTATGCAAGTCTTATGATGTGCACAGATGCCTCTTGGGACGTTCTTTCTGACAGTATTTAAGAACAGCCAGGCATTCAGATGGGGGTTTAAAGGCGCAGGTGCATGCCATATTTAATAAACTCTTCAAGGCAGCTATGCTAAGTAGCAAGACTTGTGCAAACCAGTGAATGCACGTATCAGATACATAAAAAATTGGAAATGCAATTTCATTTCTATCAGCAGCGTCTCAGAATAGACCTGTAGGATGTTGCAAATCCAGATTGCATTTAGAACTGTGAAGTGGATGAAAGCCATGTTCAAAAGCTTATTATTTTGGATTTTATACTGCCTACAATTAGCTCAAGGCTGTCTGAGACACTTGCTGATAAACAGTCCTTTTCCCCTTCAGTGGCTCTTTTCAAATCACACAGCCAATTAAGAGCAAGGAACGCAGTGGTTTTTTCATGCTATTAAAACATGTGGCATCCCCAAGCATAACCTTAATATTAATCACCTGGTAATTATTTCTGTCCAGCTGCATTTAGAAAAATAGAAAAGGCCTTAAGTATGTTATCCACCCATGCTTAGTTCAGCAACAATGAAAAGTTTAATTAGCCTTACTCCAGTGAAACTAATTTGCAGAGGATGGTAGTTGGTAGTGGCACATTGTGCATCAGGGCAGAACTGATGTCTGCCCACAGTGACTGAAAATAATCTTGCCCTGTCCACACACATAATTCAGGGATGTCTCTCATGTTCCAAACAGGCCACTGGTTTCATTCAACCAACTCTGGGCCCAGCTACTGAAAAGAGCAGGACACAGATGTGAGCACCAGGTTGACATATCATTAATCATGTCACCCATTTGCATCAATAATGGTATGCATTTACTAAAAACTGGATACAGCAAGCAGTTTTAGAACAGGATGAGAGAAAGAAGAGGGTGGTAGGGAAAGAAAACTAGGAATGGGAAGAAATCTGTCCCCCACCACCACCTACCACCCCCACCTCTCTCTCTCTCTGGTTTAAGAGCTAAGAGTAGACTACGTCTAAATGGGCGGCATATAAGCTCAATAAAATAAATAAATAAATAAACTCTTGTTTTGCTCTTCATTTCAGCTGCTAGTGTGCTGCATGACAGTAATTGCTATGTTCCCTAGCCACGGGGAATAATGCCACAACCCAAAAACCAGATTTCTTGAGTTCAGAACATGTTAACAGAATGTGTATAAACTTCTTGTTAAGACTTGCAGTGCTTGCCGTGTTTCAGCAAGTGGGGCACCTCTTAAGAGAAGCCACTGACACCCCCACCACCATTGGTGGAGAAAGACTAACCAAGTAACCACATCCATTCCAACCCTCCCAAATACTACCAGCCTCTCTGCATGTTTTCAGGTATGTTGAAATACATGCTATTTGCTCATCATTAACACCATGTTATGGTTGGAAAAGTGAATTACCCACACACCATCTTTTCTACCTAGCAGTCTCTTGCTCTTTCAAAACAGTAGCCACTCCTTCAAAGGTACGATTTCCTTTCCTTGGGATTCATGCAAAGGCACTTTGTTATTCTCATCAGGCAACAGACACTGTCTGCCTAGGTACTCTCATGTCTCAGACTCTAAGGGACACAATCAAAACCTGATTAGAAAATAGCATGCAGCTCAAAATCAGAAGTCACTGATATTTTTCTTGTCTAATGAAAAATCCCTCTGGCATATGCAAATAAAATCTGTGTTTATTTGACTGGGAGCAAATAAGGAGCAACTGAAAATGTAAAAACCCAGGAAATACTATAATTAGAATATGTATACATCAAAAATGGATATTACAATCCTAAAATAGCATCAAAGAAAGCCAAGGGGATGGGCAGGATATCTGCTAATTCACTGGTCAAAGGCATCTCAATCAATCCAAGATTTTTTGAATTATCATATTTATCCCCAGCTTTCAGAAGTTACCTAAAATGCAGAATATACTGCTGTTTAGAATCAAATAACATGCACATCACATGGAATAATGTTAACTTTTCCCATTATTTTGGCCCAGTATTCTGTGGGTATTTCGCTGGAGAAAAGTTTCACTAAGTTCAACAGGATATGTACCCACCTTAAGGCAGCATGGGATTGCAGTTCTAGATTCTAACCATTACACCACTCTTTGGCCCATCAGGCAGTCTGTTTCCTCTTTGCTGGGAAACATGCAAGAGCTACTACTAAAATGAGTCTTATTATCTGATCTACAAATGCCCAAGCTAAAGAGATAACATCAATAGAGTGGTTTACCAAAACACAAGCGCTGAGGTCCAACCTCAAGTCCTTTCAGGTAAAACAAGCCCTACCTGTAGTTCCTTGTCAGAGTATTTCTGGGGGTTCTTGCTCCCTTGGCTCTTCTTCCGAAGCTTCTTCAGTTCACCCTGGCACTTCTCTAGTGAATCCCCTTTATTCCTCTGCTCCGTCTGGTACTTCTTCAGTGCAGCCTAGGTAGGGAAAAAAGGCAGGAGGGCTAAACAGCCGGAACTATAATGCCCTGAAGCGATGGGTAGAGATTCCCCCTCCCTCATTCCTAATGAGGACAATTTACATCCTGCCTATGGGCAAGGAAGTCTTGATTTCACACCCGCTACTGAGGGTATGTTTTAAAAGACTGTCTGTTTAGTAACACAAGTCAATTTCCTCCTGAAAACGCACTTCCAGCATCTACAGAACCTTGAGGAATAGCATGTAGATTAGAAATCCTAGCATGGAGTGGACGACATGCTGCTGAAGACTCGACATGCTGCTGAAGACTCGTTATGTCCCCTGGGGAATTTTGCAATCAACGGAGTGGATGACATGCTGCTGAAGACTCATTATGTCCCCTGGGGAATTTTGCAATCACCCCCAAGCCCCTCCCCCGCTCCCCAAACATCCCCATGTTAATGGTTGTTGTGGGTTTTTCTGGGCTCTTTTGCCGTGTTCTGAAGGTTGCACAGAGAGCACAGAGTGCTGTCCTCTGAAGATGCCGGCCACAGAGACTGGCGAAACGTCAGGAAGAACAACCTTCAGAACACAGCCAAAGAGCCCGAAAAACCCACAACAACCATTAGATCCCAACCCTGAAAGCCTTCGCGAATACATCCCCATGTTAACTTTTATTATTTTTTTTCAAATGGTCAAAAAATCCCCTTATATCTCCACACAGCATGGGAAGGCAATTTTTCCCTATTTGGGTGTATGTGTGGTCTCCCATATTTCAATTTTTTAAAAAAAGCCACTATAGGATGCAAGGAGAATCTTCTAGTTTTAAAAAAACTCCTTAAAATAAAATCTACTTTTGATTAACAACCTATTTTAAAATAATTTAAACATTAACTATGCAAATTAGGTTTAGCAACTATGCCCCTCCCCTTTCAACTCCTCTAAGATTGCACCCCTTAGGTTGCTGGCAAATCTGAACAACCGCCGACCCAACCCTGCCTTGGCACAAGGTAATGTAAGATAGCCACACTTTCTTTCTTTTCTACGCAGAGATTGTCATAAACTTAGAGGTTAATCAAGAACTATAAATAACAACAAGTCAGCATTGGTTCCCAAATATCAGAGATGAAATAAGTTAATTTTTCATATTATAGGTCCCAGAATGCCCCAGCATACATTCTGGTAGAGGACTCTGGAATATGTAGTTTTTAAAAAAGGAGAGAAGTAGTCCTCCTCACATCTGACAAAGACTCTTTTGAGGGACGGCAACTTCCAGGGAGACCCATCACTGCTACACCTCTACCACCCAAGAATAGACAAGTCCCTATCGGGGAGAAGAACCCGTTGTTTTCAAGAGACACTACAAGGTTGGACGAAGCTATTTTAAAACAGCAACCGCTTATAATTACTGTATGTTCCTTTCTCCCAAATGAATGCTTGGCTAATTAGAGCAAAGAGAAACCAGGCTTATTAGCTAGACTCAAAGCTGTAACACGGAGTGCCCAAGCTCAGTTTCATTTGGAAAAAGAGGAACAAATGACCCCTTCAGTGTTCTGGATACTAGAAGGAAACATCTCACTAGCATACGGACATGCAAGTGCATGGGAGTGGGGGAGCACAGACACAGGATTTCACACTCTCTTTTGAAAGCTTCTCTCCCATCAATGTTTCCATAATAATGTTACCCACTCTAACTTTTTTTTCTCTTCTTTTGTTTTATAAAATATTAGATCTCTGTAGAGGACAAGCAGTGAACAAGAAGGGAAGGAGATCCAGGGCAAAATATACTTTTTTTAACCAGGTAATACATAGTAAAGTGGTAAGATTTCTTATCCTAATATGAAGTAATGGCTGACAACTTTGACAGTTTTAAAGAATATTAGACAAATTTATAGAGGATACGGCTAAATAATGACATCTATATATTACCTCCAGTATCTGAGGCAGTATGTCTCTATACACATGTTTTGTGGGAACACAAGGTGTTTGTGGGCTTTGCACAGTCACCTGGCTGGGCATGGAGGAAAACAGAATGCTGAACTAGCTAGGACCTTCGGTCTTATCTCACATGGCTCTTCTCATGTTCTAACCTTTACAGCATGAATATGCATAATTCCATTGAGATTTAATGATTCATAACTTGCATGTTCATCTCTTACTTACAGAGAGCCTGACTGTGTTCCCACACAATGAAGAAAAAGTGCACGAAGAGTGCTGAATTTGAAAATAACTCTTCTTAATTCTGTTAGGTTAATGGAATAGAGGTGGCTAAGTCTGAATTCAGAAACCATTTGTATTCAGTTTTTCTAATACTGTTCTACAATGGTAATCAAAAGCCATTGTGGTATGGTAGAGAGAATGTTAGACTAGGGCTAGGGAGACCTGGATTTAAATCTCAGCTCAACGATGTATGCTCGTGTTGTGTGTGTGTGTGTGTGCGCGTACGCACGTGCATCTACGTGGCAAAGGAAAAAGCACTCCTTAAATACCTCACGTTCCTCAGAAACCATACTAGGGGCATCTTAAATCAGAATAAATTTGACAATACATTAGCACACACACACACAATCAGATATGGAGGGAAGGGGAGGAAAAGGAGGCACAACAGATTTGTGCTTCCTCTTTACCAAGCTTCTTCAACGTGCATGAATGGGAAACTGCATTTTCCAGGATGGTGGAAGAGCACATGCAAGATCCCTTTACTGTCCCCATACTTCTCTATGTTGAACATCAGAATGTTAGGCAAAATCCAAAGAAACAAAACAAAACAAAAGACAAAAACATGTGGCACTTTAAAGACTAACCATTGTATTTTAATGTAAGCTTTCGTGGACACGTCCACTTCGTCAGACATAAAGAGACAGAATTAAATGAAATGAAATGTATATGAAGAATCAGTTTCACATTCTAAACGTTCATTGGTTGCATAAATAGTTAGGCCTATGTTTGTTTTACACTCCTGTTGTCAAAACACTTCAGGAAGACAGAATACAGACACCAGGTATGAGCAGAGATTTGGGGAGGGGAGAGAGAAAAGAGAGAATCTGAGTGTTGGGAGGCTTTGGAGATCCAATAAAATTCAAAAAGGGAAAGAAAGAATGAAGTAAGTCAGCAAAAGAAAAGTTTCTACCTTAGAACTTTGTGATGAGAGATGGGCATGGATGGTAGTAGTGAAGAAAATGACAGCGGCATTTTCTTCACTATGACAGTAGAGGTGTTACATTTGGTAATGGTTTAATAAACCTAGGTTTATATTCAATCCAGAATGTTGATGTGCAATCCTACCACTTTTGTTTTCTTACATCCTAAATGACTCTGTATTAATGCACTAAACTGCATTGCAAACTGCAATACACTGCCAACCCAGCTTCCATATTTATCAAACCAACTACTGTATATAAAAATGCACTGGTTTTGATTTCACAAAGAATATACGTATTTAAGACTCCTTAATCGATTAAAGACCAACTAAGCTAAATTACATGATCTTGAATAAGTACTCTTCTTAAGAACCTACAAAGTATTGTGAAGATTCTGATCAAGGTCCAGCTAGACCAACACTATTTGCAAGAATCCCAGCAACTAGCAGCCCCCTATTGTCCACCCAGACCACAGTTTTCCTTCGGCACACCCTTGTCTTCAAGCACTTGAAAGATTTCTAGATGTACCAATAAAATTCTAATAGAAATGGAGCCAGTGATATAATTTACATTAAATATAGATTTTGTACTACTCACGCTTAGATACCGTGAATCCAATTCTACCTTCTGTTCCAGTTGTGTTAACAGCTCATTATGGAAGGACTTCAGCTGAGAACCAAAAATAACCAGAGGAAACATAGCATCAGTATTGTTTCTGACAGCTAAATGCAGAAAGGTGTTGGGTAGCTCATCTACAATACAGTACCTAATGGAACTCTAGACCTGGAAAAAAGTAGGCAGAATAAAATGAACCCTGGGCAAAAAAGAAGAAACTACATTAAAAGAAACTCTAGGAAAGCCAGGTCAGCTCTGAGAAGGCACATGGATAACTGAGATTAACAAGTACTGTATTGCACAGTTATACGCAGAATGGGCAGGCCCTCTGTTTAAAGGCATCTTATGTTGAAGGACTGCCCAGACCAAGTCCAAGACAAAGACCTCTAAGAAGGGACTGCGAAAAGTTCACCATCAACAGTTAACAATAGGACGACAGACAAAGCAAACACAGAAGTCACCTGGTCACGATCTTCCCCACAAAAGTGTAATGTGATATACGTACTGCATATACAGTGGTGCCCCGCATAGCGACGTTAATCCGTTCCAGGATTAACGTCGCTATCCGGATTCGTCGCTATGCGGGGGGAAACTCCATTTAATGCGTTCCTATTGGGGAAAAACTCACCGCTATGTGGGGAATCCTCCATCTGGCTGCCATTTTTGCCGCCCAGTAAGCAAGGGCAGGGCGCGAAAACGCTGCGGGCGGCCATTTTGTTGACCCGGTGGCCATTTTGGAACCGCCAATCAGCTGTTCCCAAAACATCGCAATGCAATCGCATTAGTGATCGCAAAAAAAGTCGCTATGCGGATTCATCATTAAACGGTACGCTCGTTAAGCGAGGCACCACTGTATGTTCAAACTACAGCAACTGTTTATAAAACACACCTGCCTATAATAGTGATAACATGCAAGCACAATGCAAAATGGAGTCCTCTTTTTTGTGATGGCCAATAAGCAGACAGCCACCTAGGCAAAAAACAAAAACTAGGGGTTTAGGCATCTGGCTGTGGAGACAGAGATTTGGAGTTCAACTTCCCACGGTGCCTCTTTGAACTCAATGATCCATAGGGTCCCTATGAGCTCTGCAATTCTATGATGATGATGATGATGATGATGATGATGATGATGATGATGATGATGATGATGATGATTAAAACAAAAACTAGTGGAACTTACCCTTCATCTGGGTAAAGCACAGAGATGGGGAGAGTTTGCATTCCAGCAAGGAGCTTCGCTTAGTCCTTGTGTATGAAATCAATTGATCATCCATGACTCTTGGCCCAAAATCAGTTCTAACTTCAACCCCAGTTATGCCTCAGACATTTCTAAGGCCAACACATGATTTAGGATTTTGTTTCACTTGCAGTTTTTTCAATGGAGGTCCTTACTCTTATTTAAAGAACTTGGCAAATATTCTACAACAGATGTATTTTACATCCACATACATCAAACATCTTGCAGACTGCTCCTTGGCAAACCTCGGCAAAAAAGGACATGTCAACAGGAAGTAAAGCGCTTACCATCTCTTCTAACTGATTCTGAATCTGCCTGTGGACTTCAGCCATCTGGAACAGAACATCCCCTAGAAAAAAGCAAGACAAAAGCAGGGAAGGGAGACCAGAGGAAACACATGAGAGGCTGTTCTGCATCAACCTTTTCTCCTCCCCTGCCCAATCCCACCTCAAACTACAGCCTTGCAATCTTGGTTTAAATTAATAATTGCACATTTTGCTGAAGCTTGCTTCGGGTGCTGAATTTAAGATCAACTCAAGCTTCACATGTAATGCATGCTAGCAGTTTCTAATCTTCTCTTGGGAAGGCAAGGACAGAGGAGACAGAAAATGACCCGAAATGCTTCATGCTCAGCTCAGGAACCAACTGTTTTCTCCCAATCAGTACAACAGAAAATAGTATGTGCTATCTCTCGTTTGCTGATACAATTCCCAGCACAGAAAATACAGTCAAAGCCAGTTTTCCACAAGCCATTTATTCCTCTAGGGTCTCCCATTCAGGGATTTTCAAGCAGCAGACTGTCATTATGGAAGATTGGAGTCAGCACGGCTTCTACTTCCAAGGTAAAAATAAAAAACACATGTGCACTACTTTAAAAAAAAGTTATGCTACAGAAGGTCCAGCCACCACTGTCCTCCCCCCTCCCCATGCAGTATGGCAGAAACATATTTCACACCAATTGGCTGTCCAGCCATAGTGCTTGCTTTCAAATAGATCTACATCTGCTATCTCAGCCTTTTCATGCCCATCAGTATTAATAGCTCCCAGTTAATTATACTCCAGATTTCCCAAACACAAGAATAGTGTAATATCTTTATTAGGACCAACTATACACGACAAAGCAGCAGGCAAGCTTTAGGCTGGCTGTTACACAAAGCTAACAAATAAAGGTAAAAGAGTAGTGGTGGGGAAGACAGAGAGGTGGTGATGGTCATGATAAGAATCCTAGGCCTGCAGCTTGCAACTGACTCAAGACAAAACAGATCAGTTGTCAGGCAGATTTAATTAGCTTAGAGACCATGTCTTGTAGGAAAAAAACATTGCAGGTTGCACCATGGCACGCTGGGTGTGGGAGAGCAATAGTTCTACTCTGCCTTAGAAAATATACCCACAACCAATTATTTGGCATTTTCTCTTTAATTGGAGCACATTGTGTTTTTTTAAAGGCAGAGAGTGGGTAAGAAAGGAAAATATGGCATCCCTTATATTGACAAGGCTGGGAATTAAAGTGCACCATCTAAAAGGGTCCCATGTGTCCCAATTAGCACTAGATATACATCCAAGTAAACCCTGCTTGTAATAATTTCATAGAGAAAAGCCACTGCTTCTTTATGCCTGTAGCAGCCGGAGATCCTCCTGCATTAGCAAAACCGCCCTGCGTCCATCTTTATCGCAAACTGTGGAGCTGAACTTTTCAAACACTCACTAAAACCCACTTTCTCCCCTGCCACCCATCACTTTTTGCTGCTTTACTTAATACCCAGCCTGAAAAAAAAGTGTTCTTGCTGCTTGCTGGCTTGTGACTTTTTAAAACATGTTCTCATCAATGTTGTATGCTTCTGATGCCATTTTAATTCCTTCTGATTAAATATGGCTGTTTGCATTTTTAAAAACTGGATACGGCAATTTGCACTTAGGTGAAAACCAAGTTATATAGGAGAGTTTTACCTAGGTAGGCCTGGGCTGCCAAAAAACCGTACGTTTTGGACAAATCAAATCTATATGCACTCCCTATGAGCTCCACTCATTCAGCATCATAGACATGTGGAACACACTGTCTACTTTTTACCTTATTTTACCTCTCCTCTCACAACTCCTAATCAAGGCAATGTTTCTTATTGGAGGTTAAGGATAGGCTGAGATAGATAAACAAGAAAATTGAGTAAATAGCCTTTGGGGAGAAATGGCCACAGGTCCGTTTCTTCAAAAATACTAACAGCAGCTGTTATCTACCTAAAGTATCTTATTATATCTCCATTTTGGAACTGTGCCATGCAATTTGAGAAAGCACTCTCCGGCAAGGATTGGTGTATTACTGTTGACAGCAGAAGATGCAATTTATGTTATGGATAAATGCCAGGTCAACAACTTGGGCCCAAATACAATCCCTGATTTGAGGCCATGTATAAATGTGTATCAGACATATAGTCCCTCTCTTATGTCTGAGGAAGTGGACTTGTCTACGAACGCCTACATTAAAAAACAGCAGTTAGTCTTTAAGGTGCCACAACATTTTTTTTGTCTTCTTTATTTTTGATTTTTTAGGGACGTGGTGGCGCTGTGGGCTAAACCGCAGAAGCCTGTGCTGCAGGGTCAGAAGACCAAGCAGTCGTAAGATTGAATCCACGTGACGGAGTCAGCTCCCGTTGCTTGTCCCAGCTCCCGCCAACCTAGTGGTTCAAAAGCATGCAAATGCAAGTAGATAAATCGGGACCACCTCGGTGGGAAGGTAACAGCATTCCATGCCTAAGTTGCACTGGCCATGTGACCACGGAAGATTGTCTTTGGACAAAACGCTGGCTCTATGGCTTGGAAACAGGGATGAGCACCGCCCCCTAGAGTCGAACACGACTGGACAAAAATTGTCAAGGTGAACCTTTACCTTTACCTTTTATTTCTGATTTTGCCTGATATGCTAAAACAGACTAACACAGCCACCTCTTCTGAAATGGGATCTGTTCTTGCATCAGACCCTGAAGCCATTCCAGCTCTGGCTGTGATTTTGTCAGAGCTAATAAAGGTAATAGGGGTCAGACATGGCCACCGTTTGTTTTGGAAGTCCAAGTGATCCAATCAGCATTCAATTAATACGAGGTATGGAGGGCATGTGTGGGAGAGCAATGAAGCTGAAGATGTAAATCTATGGAAATCATCTTGTAGCTTTGCCATTGAAAAAGAGAGAGATGCTACTGCACTTCCTGCCAAGCAAAGGAGATGTCTATTGTAAAGGTATGTTCTTGCCAAATTTAGGGGAAAGTTATTTTGGTGAAAGAGGGATTATTTCACCAGACAGCCAGGCAGCCCCTGCCATTTATTTTAGACCTTTTAAAATCATTCCACCATGAATCCTCAGTTTTGAACGTTCTTACATGCAGCGTTGCACACAGCTAAGGTCATAAGTTGGCAATTCAAATGTAGCTTGTCTCACACACTCAGTTGGTTGTCATCAAGCCACTACTCTCTCAGCCTCTGGCTTTCTCTGATCCAGATGCCAAAACGTATTCTGGCTTCCCAAACAAAGTGGCTGCAATGTGGCAAAACACTTTGAACACTAAACAAAATAGCTATTTAAACACTAAAGTATCCATAGCAGCAACAGGCCTCCTTTAAAAAACAGAACCAGTACACAAAGGCTGCCTTGGCTTTTTGATTTGCAAATACATTCATCCTATGAAAATGTCATTCATGAAATGACATTCTCCCTATTATATTTTATTTACACTTGCCAATCAAAAAATGATACTCTGATATTTTCCAGTTTTAATATGCATAAAGAAAAAAGGACTGCCTATGTAATAACCAAATCAAACAATTCATCACCAAAATAGAAGAAACCACAAATTGCAAAACATGGAATTGGAAGTGCCTCTTCTACTTAATTCCAGTTGAGTAGTGCCAGATATTACATATTCACATAATATTACGACCTTCTTGGCACCAAAATGCCAACTGCATTGATGAACTAGAGCTTTAAAGAATGATTAGCAATCTTCTTTTTCACTGCATATGATTCTAAATCTAAATATTAAGTGTTTTTCTGACAGACTGATGGCACTAAAAGCAAATTAATCCAGTGTCCTGTTGCCTAAAGGTGGAGCAGAAGGAAGAGGACTTAAGTATCTTTCCCAACACCTGTAGGCTCCCCACTGCATGAGCAGATGTGTGACTGATCTCACAACCAATGTGAGAACAGGCAAGTGAGGAGGAGCCTGCCGCAATGAGAGGGCCATTGCCATGATTTCCCCATCCACTCCACCTTTGGGTAAAAGGAAACTAGTCTTTTGAAAACTTGAAAACAGAGCTACTGCTCAATGTTTATTATTTGCTTTTTCATCCATTTTTTAGCTCTATCAGAGTCACATATTATGAACTCTGGAAACACAAGTAACACTGCTACCAGACATAAAGCTACCTCCAATATTCAAGGCACTATGTCATTCTAGGGCATAATAATGGGAAATGGTTATTGCACTCATGTCCTGCTTGTGGGCTTCCCACTTGCATCTGGTTGATTGCTATGGGAACAGAACAGAGGACTAGACAAGTCTGAGTCAGCATCTTATTTTTTTTTTTTAGCTGCCATCAGACTCTGTTCGGTAATCCTGAGAGGAAAATACTAAGAACATTCCTCACAATTCTCACATCTTCCAGGTGTATGCAGGATCGCAAGCAAAAAGAGTATAGGAGCTCTCTTTCATTGATCCTGAATACAGAATCTTATTCTTCAGGGCCTGCATACACAAAACACAAGAAGGACCAGCCACATTGTCTTAGATGTGCAACAGGGAAGGAAGGTTGGCAGAGGCAGGTTTAGTGCAACACATCCAAGAAACATTTTGAACTAGTCCTGTAGGACAGCCATTCAATCTGCCTGATTCCTACTAACCCTGTACCAAGAAGTTTCACTTGCCTCTGGGGTTAGGAATTAATACAGAGATAAGCAAAGGCGTTCTTGTATTCATCAAAGTAAGAAACCTCAGGGGCGATGTAGTTACAGTCACTACCTTTAAGTCAGAACATGCTGGAACCATCCTTCACAAATGTCTGCTCAGCAGATTCCTCCACATTTCACCTGTGGCTTGGATCCTACAGCTTCTAAAATTAGATTTGATTGATTGATTGATCCTACAGCGTCTAAAATTAGATGTTGCTTGTTTGTTTGTTTGTCTATCCACCCTATCACCCTATTATGCAGATGCACTGCTCTGGGCAGTTTACAATAAATTAAAACAATACATATACACACCAAGAAGCAAAATTATCAACTACAGTAAATGTGGCACGAGGCTTTAAAGCATAAATGCAGATAGCTTTTGGGAATAGTAACAGCTTAATGTAGTCAGGGTTGTG